GATCATGAAGCCTTTATAAATTGGATAGCATGTTTTGTGACACCTATGTCTCGTTTACATGACTTATGTTCACTTTGTGCTTAATGCTTAATATCTCGTTGCTCCGTGAATACTTACATTGTTTGAGAGTCGAAATGTGATCGTCCTTAGTGAGTCATGTGCCATGTAGGGTGAGGTTTTTGTGTTGTTCATGTATTGTACTTGTGTCTAGNNNTCCCTTAGCCCACATTACAACCATGAAAAAGTCCTAATTGATTTTAGATCGAGCGAGCTTACATTAGTAGAGATTTACATTAAGGGCAAGCCTATGGTACCAATTGCATGCATGTGACTTCTTTGTGAGAGTGAGCGATTTTCTTTGATATATGTGAGTCATTAAAATATATTTGATCATGAGATTCGAATGTGTGGATTGAACTCGCTCTCTTGTTCTTGTTGTGAGGGCGCATGGTTTCACGAGGGATAGGTAACGTTATTAGACTTCTCTATGATGTTGGGTGTTCAAGCCATGAGTGCATAGTGACATTGAGTCGGTTTTTGAGGTTAGGATTGTTGTGAGCATGTTGTCTTTGTTCGAATATGTTTAAAGAAGGGCATAAGTAAAGGGAAGTGTATGTGATGCATAGTCTAGAGCCTAATTGTTGCAAATAACCATGGTCATAGGTGTAGTGTGCTTTGAATGATAAGAGCTTAATTTTGTTTCGTCTACTATGTGATGGTTTGTTCGAGGACGAACAAAGGTTTAAGTGTGGGCGAGTGATGTTTGGCATATTTCGATATGTGTTGATGTTACTTTACCCATGTTTTAACCGCTTCTTGATGTTATTTGATCTTTAAAATGCCCAACATGGTTTAATTATTGGTTTTATGACTAATTGAGTTGTGTGTGGTGAATTAGGGTGTTTGGAGTGCAAAAATATGAAGAAAAGGTGCTCTAGGTAGAGGAAGAGAGATTGGATGCGTCGCATCCAATCTAGAAAAAGATCAGTTCGCGCACCCTTAGCAGTGAAGTCAGCCCATAGCATCCGCCATAGCATCCGCACCTGGGCAAAGCTGAGATGGAGGAACTAGGGGTGGATGCGTCGCATCCACCCTCGCATGCAAAGCTGAGAAATAGAGGACAAGGTGGATGCGTCGCATCCACCTTCGCAGGCAAAATTGAAATGGAGGACGAGGTGAATGTGTCGCATCCACCTTAGCATCAATCCCTGAAGCCGATTTGGACTAGGAATAGGAGAGCTTTGGCCCACGACTTTTGTACGCAATATATAAGCCAAAAACGCCTCCTTTAGGTCATCTAACATATTGGAGAGGGGGAAAAAGCCACAAGAAAGTTCTAAAAACTACGGAATTTGTCTTGAGTTCCTATTCTCTCTTTCTTTTATCGATTCTTATGCACTCTTGTGAATTTTTGATGATTGCCTGAATATGAGTGGCTAAGAACCCTATTGTTCTAGGGTCATGGGTATACATGAATGTTGATGTTTGAAGTTTAATTTGACGAAGTTGATTTTATCATATTGGGTTATTTATTTAATTTTATTTTTAATTATTTTGCTGAGTAGCTAACAGTGAAATACTATCTACGAATCTAGAGTTGAACTCGAAAGTGGAAACTCTAGATTGCATATAGAATTAAATAAAGCAAGTTCTTAAACCCGGACATCGGGGAAAGGATTCGCAATTGGGATAGACATATACCTAATTGCCTTGCTCGGTTGCAATACAGTAATTGTAAATGCGTTCTTGTTAAATTTAAGTCCATAGACATATATGTATTGAGTTAGCTTGAATAGGCGAGTAAGGGCTCGACAGATTCTTATGAGTAATATCAACTCTATCAACCAACAATCCAGATAAATCAATTAGTAATTTTAAGCTAAGAATGGAACATGATTGTTAAATAACCCGTGACCCTGAAATATTATCTCTCATTGATTGTTATTTAAAACTATTTAAGTGTTGTGTTGATTTCTAGTATTTCATTACTTGATAGTCTTTAGGTAGTAAATTAGACAATTATCTATTTTATAAGAAATCGCTTGAATCGATAAGCTATTTGAGTTTAAATTAGTCAAAAGTTAATCATAAGTCCTCGTGGGAACGATACTCTATTCACTACTCTATTACTTGACGACTACGTATACTTGCGTGAGTGTGTTTGGTCCTGACAACAATCATCAACAAGGAAGTCATATAAATAAAAGAATGCTCGTAAAGGACACAAAGCATTGATGAGAGCTTACATATAATAAGCCAGGGATTATTATTGTAGCAGACATACAACATTTACGGTAAAATCAGCAATACCTCTCCCTACCAGAAAACCAACAAAATATTAAAGAAAATTAACAATAAAATCAATACACCCAAATAGAAAATAGAAAAATAAAATAAAGAACCAACAAAACTAAGTTTAAAGATCCTTAGGTGTTTCATTCGGTCGCTCAAGAGAAGATTTCTCATTAATAACTTCAGACTTCCTACACCGCCTTGTGAGATTTTCAATATTGGAGTACTTGCTTCTGTGTTATTTAAGATTTTATCATTGTTCAACGAAAATTAACAAAAAAACTAAATTAGAAAAAAATGGGGGGAAAAAAGAATAAATGTTATGTACTACACAAGTACACAATACAATGTGCAAAATCAATTGCCCAGTCTACTAAACGAAAGCAATTTTTTGTTTCCAGATAACGAATAATTTATGGATCGTTATACAAGTAAATTTCTAGCATCGAAATTCCATGTAGTAATTTGATATTCATTCTAAGAAGTTGTACTTTTCCTTTAATATTTTTTTATAATAAAACCATTTTTTAATTTCGTAGACTTGTATACAAAATTATAACACTGAATTTCGCACCTGGACTTTTCAAAGATTCTACCATATTTCAATTAAACCTACTTGATACCAAGAGGATCTATGATACATATTATGTGCAATAGATTATCATTAATCTAGCCAATGCCTTACTCAGAATTGAATGAGCAAAAAACTCCATTAAGTACCATTAAAACAGTCAATCCCTCACAAACAAGTTCCCTTCATATAACTTCTTCTACGTACTTAGTCAGAGTAATGAGATAGGAATAGGAGACGTTGTCTTGTATGAAAAGTAATTAATTGCATTGTACGAAACTTAAAGGTATCAATGAATGTAAGGAAATAATAAAGGCAATTAAGGTACAATATGTGTAAATTAGGAGTCCAACAACAACGATCCAGTGAAATTCTATTAGTGGGCTCTGAGGAGGGTAGTATATATACAGACATTACCCCTACCCCGAGGGGATAGAGAGGCTGTTTCCGAAAGACCCTCGGCTCAAGAAGACAAAAGAAAGACGAAAAGAGGCAATATATCAGTTAGGGATGGGCGTTCGGTATTTCGGTACGCTATTTAAAAATTTCGGTTCGGTATTCGGTATATCAATTATGAATACCAAATACCGTACCAAAATAATTCGGTACGGTTCAGTATTTTCTTGTTTGGTTCGGTACAGTTCGGTATCGTACCATATCTTTGTTAACTAAATAGTGCTAAGCTAATTCATTAAAAATTCTTAATTACATGATAATGAGTATAACAACAATAAAATGTGAGCAGTACCTTCACTTCTTCTAATAATTTCTAATAGAAATCACTACATGAGCATAACAGTAGAATGTGAGTAGTTTCTTTACTTCTAATAATTTATACTAGAAATCACATCATTAGAAAATTTCTAATAAAGTGATAAATGAGCATAAGAAGTTCCTTTACTTTTCTAATAATTTCTAATGTTATGTTGGGGAGTTGGGCTTAGTCTCGGTAGGTTACAGGCTAAGGGTAAGAACTAACAAGTTAGAAATGTTGGGCTAAAAATTGATAACTTGGGCTGGCAGTGAAGGAAGGTGTACTTAAATAATTCGGTATTTCGGTATACCAAAATATCCAAACTTCAATACCGAGGACCGTACCGAAATACCAAAAAACTGAAAATCTTATACCGAAGTAGGACCGAAATACTGAATAAACCGATACCTAAATACCGAATTAATTTGGTCCGGTTCAAAATTCGGTTTTTTGGATTTTATGCCCACCTCTAATATCAGTACCATCAATAGAAACCATAGAACAAAGAGTAGCATCACCAAAACCAAAAAAATAAGTGAAAAGCAAAACAATAACCAGTAGTTAAAGCATAGCACTAAGAGGAACGAAAGAGTAGTGTGAACTCAACGTTAACCACTAACAGTCTAAGACCAAGTCTTAACAGACTAGCCTCACTCTGGAGCATCGTAGAGATATTCTCAACTACATCCTAACCTACAACCTTAATGCTCGATCTTCACAACTTCCTGCCTAGGGCCATGTCCTTGGTAATCTGAAGCCTCGCCATGTCCTGCCTGATCACCTCTCCCCAATACTTCTTAGGTCGCCCTCTACTTCTCCTCATGCCTACCAAAGTCAGCCGCCCACACCTCCTCACCGGTGCATCTGGGCTTCTCCTCTGAACATGCCCGAACCATCTGAGCCTTGCTTCTTGCAGCTTGTCATCTATGGGGGCAATGTCCACCTTCTCCCGAATATCTTCATTCATAATCTTATCTATCATAGTATGCCCGCACATCCACCTCAACATCCTCATTTTAGCTACTTTCATCTTCTGGATATGTGAGTTCTTAACTGGCCAGCTCTCAGCCCCATACAGCATGGCCGGTCTAACAACCGCCTTATAAAATTTACCTTTGAGAATCGGAGGCATTTTCTTGTCACACAGGACTCCAGACGCTAGCCTCCACTTCATCCACCTAACCCTATATGGTGTGTGACATCCTTGTCGATCTCCCCATCTCCCTGAATAACCGATCCAAGGTACTTGAAACTGACATTCTTGGGGATGACTTGTGAATCAAGCCTCACGTCCAACCCCGCTTTCGTCGGCTCGACGCTTAACTTGCACTCTATGTACTCCGTCTTAATCCTGCTTAACTTGAAACCCTTAGACTCAAGGGTCTATCTCCAAACCTCCAGCCTCTCATTGAAGCCGCCTCGAGTCTCATCAATCATCACTATGTCATCAGCAAATAACATACACCATGGCACCTCTCCTTGAATATGATGTGTCAATGCATCCATTACCAGGACAAAAAGGAATGGGCTGAGTGCAGACCCTTGGTGTAATCCCATAACAACCGGGAAATGCTTCGAGTCGCCTCCCACTGTCCTAACCTGAGTCTTAGCTCCATCATACATGTCCTCAATCATCCTAATGTAAGTAACCGACACACCTTTTGCCTCTAGGCACCTCCATAGAACCTCTCCATGAACATTGTCATAGGCTTTCTCCAGATCAATAAACACCATGTGCAAATCCTTCTTCCTATCCCTGAATTATTCCACCAACCTCCTCATAAGGTGGATAGCTTCCGTAGTAGAACGCCACGGCATGAACTCGAACTGGTTATTTGAAATAGATATCGTCCTCCTCACCCTCACTTCTATCACCCTCTCCCAAACTTTCATGGTATGACTCAGTAATTTGATACCCCTATAGTTGTTACAACTCTAGATATCACCTATGTTCTTGTATAATGGAACAACTGTACTCCACCTACACTCCTCCGGCATCCTTTTTGTCTTGAAAATAACATTAAACAACCCAGTCAGCCACTCCAAGCCTGCTCTATCCACACACCTCCAAAATTCTACCGGAATTTCATCTGGCCCGGTAGCTCTGCCCCTACTCATCTTACACATAGCCTCTATGACCTCCCCAACCTTGATGCGCCTACAATACCTAAAGTCACAGTGACTCTCTGAATGCCCCAATTCACCTAGCACAATATCCTAATCCCCTTCTTCGTTCAGAAGTTTATGAAAGTAGGCCTGCCATCNCCTCCCTGATCCCTAGATCCTCGTACAGACGAGCAAAAGCCATATTCTTAGCCTCCGTAACCACCAGTTTTGCCTCCTTCCTAGCTACCTTATACCTCTCATTGTTCGTTCTCCTCTCCCCCTCACCAATGCTCCCTACTAGCTTCAGGTACGCCGCCTTCTTCGCTTCCACTTTACCTTGGACCACTTCATTCCACCACCAGTCTCTTTTGTGACCACCAGAGTAGCCCGACGATACCCCTAACACCTCTCCCGCCGCCTTCCTTATACAATTTGTTGTCGTTGACCACATAATGCTTGCGTCCCCACTACTCCTCCAGGATCCCATAGCTGATAACGTCCCTTCCAACTCTTGAGCTTTATCCTTAGTCAAGGTATCCCACCTGATCCTCGGACGTCCTCATACAGACCTTTTCTTCCTCCTTATCATAATACCGACATCCATTACCAAGAGCCTATGATGTGTCGCAAGGGTCTCACCCGGGATAACCTTGCAATCCTTGCACAGCCTTCTGTCACATCTTCTGAGGAGGAGATAGTCAATCTGCGTCTTCGCCACCGTACTTTGAAAAGTAACCAAATGCTCCTCCCTCTTCGAAAAACTCGAGTTCGCAATCACCAGTTCAAATGCCTTAGCGAAATCCAGCAGCGAGGTACCTCCTCCGTTCCGATCCCTAAAACCGAAGCCGCCATGCACCTCACTATAGCCACCTGCAGATGACCCAATATGCCCATTGAATTCCCCTCCTATAAATAACCTCTCGGCAGGCGGAATATTACGCACAATCTCATCCAACCCCTCCCAGAAGCGCCTTTTAACCTCCTCATTCAAGCCTGCTTGCGGCGCGTATGCACTAACGACATTTAGGGTACACTCACCAACCACCAGCTTAATAAACATTAGTCTATCATTCACCCGCCTAACCTCTACCACAGACTCTCTAAGATCCCTATCTTCCAAAATACCCACTCCATTCTTACCCTTTAGGACTCCAGAGTACCACATCTTATACCCATCGGCATCCCTCGCCCTCGATCCTACCCACCTAGTCTCCAGGACACACGATATATTAACCTTCCTCTTCTAGAGAATCCTAGCCAACTCTATATACTTACCCGTCAAAAATTAGGAGTCTAATATATTTAAAATAAGGAAAGATTTATTAGTTAAAATTTTAGTGAGTTTTAAATTCCTAAATATTAGGAAAATAATTAAATAATAATTTTGTCTAGTGTGAACTCTATATTTAAAGGATAAAAAAGACGAACGATATTTTTCTAAGGGCCTTCGTGCTTTTAATATAGTATATATATAGATTTGTGATAAAACTAGGTCACAAAAATATTTAACTAAATTTAATGTTGATATAACCTTTTTACTTTAAAATGATTTTTTTTCTAAATAGCTGCCTACCGACAGCTTAAACTAAAAATAGCCGGCATATATATAATATATATGTATATTCGATTGAAAAACGTAAACAGTGAATCCTGACGGCTTGCCGTGTAACGATCCCTTTAAAAATAAATTTTATATAAACAAAATTATTATTTAATTATTTTCTTAATATTTTAGGACTTTAAAATCAACTAAAATTTATGATTCAAAATACAGTGGCTGGATTTTATTTTATGCCATCGTAATTTATTATTTTTTAATCTGTCAAATTTAATTAATATAATATTTTTTATTAATTAAAGAAAAATAGAATGTCCTGTATTAGTTAGGTGAACATGTTTGTCTCTTTTAGAATGAACTTGAAAATTATCACACACCCACACACACACAAAAGTTGAAAATAGATTTTTTAAGAAAATAAAAATAAAACTTTTAAATCTTCAAAGGTTATGTGTTCTTGCTGAAACTGAAAAGAAAGTATGATAATTTATGAAATTGAGGTGATGAAGTCATAGAGCTGAAAATGAGTTTAAGCTGAATATACAGAAGAGTAATTATATTCAGAAATTCTATGAGACATATTCTCTTATTTATTGAGTTATTTATATTGAATCAATATTTATCAATTTCAGGAGTTTAAATTTCTATTTTATAATGCAAATATAATTTTAAATACTATTTATGTATTTTTTTTAAAAAAAAATATTACTCATCAAGTTGGGGTACACGCGCAAAACGCGTACTCTAATACTAGTAAAAGCAAACGGACAAGAGTCAAATAATGAACAACGTGATCAAAGAGAAAAGCACGAAATAATTGGCACGAAATGAAAAATACGGACACAATAACTAGATTAACAAAATAGGACTAATTACTAATGTTAACTAGATAAGAATAATCAAAGAAAATAACTAGGAATAAGAAGAACACAAGGAAACTCAAACTGTGCAAGTGGAAAATTCGGCTCCACGATCTTCTTTCGTGGCCACGATTGGTGCTGAGTAGGGGAAGTTCGTGGAGACGATTTGACTTCGGCTCTACGTTTTCTTGGTGATATTTAGTTTCAATAATTTTCAGCTTCTGCCCGACTCCACGAACATAATAGGCTTCACGAATGGGTCCACGATACTGCATTTTCAATAGCTTTGTTCAGCTTCTGCCCGACTCCATGAACAAATTCGGCTCCACAAAGTGGTCAACGAATCTGAAATTTCTACAATTTTTTACCTCGATTTTGTTTCTCAAATTCGAACAAATTGCTTCCAAATGTTCCCAAACTTCAAATTTCACTTGGGAATCACCTTAGATTCAATCCCCAATGGTTTTTGATATCAAATTCATGAATCATAAACTCAAATGGATCAAATTGTACTTTTTTCATGAATCCAACATGAACATGATGAATATGGATTTCTTCCAAATTATAGATTACTCACTCAATTCTCAGCCAAATCGTCTCAAAATTGAAAGACAAACTACTTAGAAAACTGAGAGCAAATTCCAATGGCTAATTTGTTCAAATAATAACAAAACAAAGAACACCCAATTTTGAAAACCTTGTTCAAGCTCAACGTTCTTCAATAATGGAGTTTTTCAACCTTCTAAACTCAAATCTCCATTCCAATGCACAAGTAAACTTAGATTTAACTTCATAAACTGGTTTTAACCACAAAACACAACTAAAATCACCATCACAATTGAATTTTTGATTTCTATTTTTTTTGGGATTATAAAATAAAATCAAATACTTAGCTAGTATATGTAGAAACAAATACTAATCCAAGCCCCGATACCAAATGATACGAATCTAAATGCGGAAGACAAGAAATTAAAGATAAATGATAGAATTTGAGAATATACCCAACAAAGTAGTCATTGAAAAATAATTGACAAAGATCAACCAGTGAATAATTACATAACAAAGTGAACCTAAACTATATACCTTCAAGTGGAAGTGTGATTCCACTTGAAGAACACACCTTGAATAAGTTGTCATCAATAATGGCAAATCACCATTACACCTCTCAAAAGAGTCTTCATTATTCATCAAAATTAGTCTCTCTAAAATGAAAGCCTTAAGGGCTATTTATACTAGATTAGGTACTTGACTACAAAGGACCCAAATACCCATAAGCTAATTTTAAGAAACTAAGTGTAGTAACTCTAGCTTTCAAGACTTTATAGTTAACGTACCACAATAGGACGAGAGGGAGATGCCTCAGACTAAGAAGAAAGGGCGAAGGAAGTGGCTCCGAAAGAAAGGAAAGCTAGGACATGAAGTTCATATCCCCATCAAAGGGGTGGAGCTAGTTAGACCATTACCGAAAGATTTCATTCCAATCCTTAAAAAAAGAAAGAGAATGGAAAAAAGCTACTTATTATAAGTATAGCCTCCAATTACATGTAATCTTCATTTGATGGCAATTTACACACATAGCCTCCAATTGCGAAAGTAGCCATCAATTGACATCCAAAGCGCATGTTGGCTATCTTGGGTCGTATCAGGCAGTCCACCGGTTCAAGGTGTTCAAAGTGACGTGTGGTTCACGGGTTCAAAGTTCTGTTTTGTTTGCGAAAACTAAACGGAGACCACCATATGTGGTCTATTTGATTTTTTTTCAATTTAAAATTTTTTCTAAAAAAATAACTCTTAAATTTTTTGTAGAAATAAACAACTAATATTAAAAATAATTTTTAACTAAAAGTAATTTTTTAAATAAATATTATAATTTAACGTCAAGCTCTATAAAAATTTCTTTAACAAAAGCTCTCTACAGGATAAAAATTCTCTCTACTCTCCCTTTCTTTTGTTTTATGCTTACTTTTATTAGTAAAATTTCTAATGTTGTCCTTTTGTTATTTTAATTTTGATTTATAAAACTATAGTTCTATTAATTTTCTTTAATTGTTTAGCTAAATATTGCATAGTTTGATTTAAAAATTTTGGTACACTATTTATTGACAAAAAAAATTATTTGGCTTGTTTAAATTTGAATATCCTTGACGGAATTCCTAGCTACGTCACTGCATATATAGCATGAGGCTACATGATAATACCACTAGATTACGGTGAGAGGATTGCAATTTCGACTTAATAGTAAATTATTATTTGTTGGAATTATGTTCAACATTTACACCCTAAATTTTGTATTCATAAGACAACCATTAATAAACAATGAGGATGATGAGAGAAATGAAACTAGTTTGTTATATTTTGATTTGTATATTCAGCAAATTGACATAAGAAATTTAATTTTTGTTCACAAAATCAAATCAAATTGAATTGTGACTACTCTGGTGCTAATTGTCCTATTATTGTCTAATACAGTCCTAGTAAGTTTCTTTTAAAAAAAGGTTCTAGTTTTCGACATTTATGCGGAGCAAGAAATTAGGGGGTCAATGTAATAATTTAAGGGAAATCTAATCGTCCCTAAAAATATAATAACCGATAAATATATTTATTTTGTACATTTTAAATATATATTTTTTATATATTTGAACTATAATTATTTTTGACTGATCCGTAAATATGTTAAAAGCTCATAAGTTAACTAAATTATAAAGTCCCAAAAATGGCTGGAAAATAATAAAGTGCAAAAAATGGAGTATTAGAGTCAAATTGCATTTTATTATTAAAAATTTAAAAAAATAAAAAAAAGGGGAAGAAGAAGTCCCTTTTAGGAACTCTTTCTTTTTCCTCGCTCTACAACTCCTCTCAGCCGCCCCCCTCCTCCACAGTAACACCGCCAATTTCTTCCACCGCCTCCAGTGAAAAGCAGTATTAGGGTTTTGCTCATCAATCATTTTTTTCCTCATAATTTTATTAAAGAGAAAGGGGGAAAGGAAAAAGCAGTAATGGGGAAAGGAGAGAAAAGTACGTTAGGGAGGGCACTGGTGAGGCACCATAACCAAATGATTCAGCAGTCGAAAGAGAAGGGACGATTCTACAGGAACCAACACAAGAAGGTTCTGGAATCCGTCACTGAAGTCACTGATATTCAGGCCGTCATAGAACAGACAGATGAAGCTCACCGCGTCTTCTCTGACCTTAATCCTCCCGTTAAACTCCTCGTCAATCTGTAAGCACCCCCCTTTAATTAACATGTCTTGTTTACTCAGCTTCTTAATTAAATTTTGGTCATAAAACCTGTAATTCTTCGTAAATAGGTGTCTCTGTGTGTTACTTTGGGTTGTCAAGAGCCGCTATGCTTGTCGGGTTTATTGGCTTTTGTTTATGTCTATTTGTTTAGTTGAGTAAAGTTGGGATTTTGTTCTTTATATTCTTTTCTTCTAATTACTTTTTGAGAAAAATAGAGAATTGGGTATTTGGGAATTACCTTAATGTACTTTTAAGCTGAGTAAAGTTGTTGTTTTTTCTTAATTTTTTTTTTTTTTTGCAATCAGTTGTTGATGATAAAGCATGTATCTTGTTGGTGTATATATTCCCTTCCTTTTTTAGAGGGACAGGGGTTTGAGGGTTAGTTTGTTGCTAGAGGGTTGTTGTAATGCTTGCGGCTGCGGGTTTCTGGTTTGTTTTTTGAATTGTTTTTTTTGGGAAAAAGGAGAAACTTGGGTACTGTATGAGGTTGGGAGTTTGTTTTTAGTTCTATTTTTGTAGTTTTGTGATTGGAACTGGTTTTGTAAGCCAAGATTCATTCCCGATAATCTTCTTGAGCGCAACATAGAAAAACCTAAAAGTAGAAGGAGAAGAAGAAAAAAGGGAAAGAATGCAGAATAAGCGACTTGCTGGCCCCTTCGTGAGCGATTATCTTACTCTTTTGTTTATTCTGTTGTGAGATGTTATTCGATTTAGCTTAATTATAGTGTGGTGGGGGTTTGACTTGTTGCCATCATATGCATCATTTCCGATGAGGTCAAGTTTTGCACGGATGACAATGTGTTGTGCCATGTGCAAAAATTATGGAATGGTAAAAGAAGGATTCCCTATTGAAACAATTATTGAATAGTGAAGGAAAGAGCTCTCTATTGCCTTGACTGTGGTTGAATTGCTGTATGAGAGGGAGTCCATTAAAAATAAAAGAATACAACATCTTTCAAGAAAGAAATGGGAAATAATGCTCATTGTTTCTCCATATTGATACTAAAGACTCATTTGCATTAAGCTACTATCTCAATAGCTCCGTGGCTGAAAGACATTTCTCCCGTGGTTCCTCTATGAGAACCTTAAGGAATAGAAGTTCCGACAGATCATCTACATGGTTATCAACATGTTGAGTGGCATATGAAACCACATCTCTAAGCACCAGAATTAAGTAAATAACATATATCTTTGCAGTTGTGCTGTCTCTATATCAGAGGCGTGATAGGCTGATACTGCGAAGATCGTATTTCATCTTCTATCTTGAGTGTATATTGCTTTTTTTTTTTTTAATTCATATGTATTACGTAATGACTAAGAAATTAACTTTCATATCTGCCCCGATTACAGCTGACAATAGGTAGTAGATTCATTACCTATCTCTCAGTCTTTATAAGCTATTTAAGGACTCACTAGAGGGGGGCTATTGTATCACTCTTGCTTAGTCATTGGCTCATTGCACTACATCTGTTTCTAAATTTGAAGCCATAAAACTTCTTCTCCAGTTGAAATGTTCCTTAGCTGAAGGCTTCTATATCTGATGTACTGTAATAAACTACTAGTAGTGAAGAAATCTCAACAGCTTTTTCCGAAGGGCATCATGAATGTAGATAGCATCAGAATCCTAGAGGATACTTTGATCCGAAGAAGTATCCACTGACGTATGTGACTCTGTTGTAACTCTTATTGAGAGATATTATTAACTAGAGGAGTGACTTGATTGGTGTAGATGAAGTTTTGAATTTAAAAGGAAGTGGAGCAGTAGCACGTTCATATGAACTGCAAAGGAAATCCACCTAAGTCATACATATTCAGTTAATGGGAAGTGAATCATATCCGAATCAGAACTTGTTGTTTTGATACAAGGTTTTCCACATCATGCTTTATTGCAGGGTTTGATATGTTATCTTCGTTTACTTGAACTCGTTATCAGTTAAAATTACTGTGTTTTTGGAATTAGGGCGCTCTCTGGAAGTTGAAGCTAATTTAAAGATAAGATCGCTGATTATGTGTCATGGTCAACCCTGTAAAAGATTTGACATTTGGGATGATCTTCTCTCTCTTCAGATTCAGTAACCTTGATTTATCATGTGAAGTTCATAGTTGCATTAATGTGCTAAATTTTATTTTCTAAATTTCTATAGAATATGCTAGTGTGAACCATGGAGATCCTGTAATAATTGACTTCATCTGTGAGAAGGTGTTTCTTTATGCTAACATTTCACTTCTCATAATATTGCCTTTTAGCATTTCACTTTTCAACTTTGACTGGGCTCCTTCTAGTACTATCTTTTTGCTGCTTTATAAAAAAATATAATGTACCTTCTTTCTTATCTTTTATTCTTTGCTCGTTTGATTTTTCATAACTTTATGTCTTAGTGTCCTCTCTGACAGAATCGAAAGGTGACTTATTTACACTTATTGTGGTTGTGACCTGACTTTGTTGTAATAGGGATGGTGATTCTAGCATGGGTGATCTGACACCTGAAGAAAGAAAAGAGCAGCAGAAGAAGGAGGAGGTCTTGCATGCTAGCAGTCTTCGTGTTCCACGCAGGTAATTGTTATCCTTTTTTAAATCTAGTGCACTATCTGGTGTCCTGGTCCAAGGTTCTGAAGTACTTCTTTTTCAGGCCACCATGGAATACTAGAATGTCAGTAGAAGAGCTTGATGCCAATGAAAATCAAGCTTTTCTAGCTTGGCGCCGCAATCTTGCAAGGTCAGTTCTGTGAGAAGGCATTTTATTTGCTTATGCTACATTAGTGAATGCATGTTTGTGGATATTGTTGCTTTCCTCTCTTTGGGAGTGGGGGCAAGGAATATGAACTTTGTAAATTTAAGATGGATGTTTACGATATCTTGTGTTCATTTTCCTACGGATAACTGCTTACATTCAAAGTTAGTCACTATGGGTTCAGTAGACAAACAGATTGAGCTAGGAAGTTGTGTAGTTATGTTCAAAAGAGAATTTGTACCTTCCCTCCCAGTTTAATCCGTCAACCGTTATTTTCCATGTACACTTAAAAAATACCTGATTTGTTTGCACCTAAAGCATATTCCATCTGTTTATAGTGAATTTATGTGTGATGGAGGTATGACCAGAAAATCAATAGTACATTGAGAGCTTTCAGATAGGCCTCATCTTATGTTGGGACTTGGGCTACTGCTTAGCATGTGAATTTTGTTTATGGACATCTTTTGCTCTAACAGAAATTGATTTATATAGGCTTGAAGAGAACGAGAAACTGGTTCTCACCCCTTTTGAAAAGAACCTGGATATCTGGAGACAGCTTTGGAGAGTTGTCGAGCGTAGTGATCTGGTGAGATTCTGATCATTTTCTACCTTTAGGGTTATTCAAGAGGATAAATATTTTTCGTGGCAGTTTAACAGTTAGCATCTGGCAGTCTACTGGTTCCTTCTTATGCTTACTCCTCGTGTAGTTTATTTGATCTGATTATGTAGACTAAAGCACTGAGAGAAACTGGTTCTTCAAACTTAAGGTTGCTTTAATGTCAAGCATTTTAAACTAAAGTTAGGTTTCCTGTAAAGAAGCCTGAAAGTACTTGGTAAGAGATTTTGAAGATTGGTTGGTAATCTGGTATGTAGTAACATTTCTGGCCTTGTACTAGAGATACTTTCCGCGTGACGAATTGTGTCCGTTAACGTTGTTTAAATTTTGCCTAGTAGTTGGGCTGCAAATGTTTGAGCATGAAAACTGTGAGGACCTTCAAATTCGCCAGGGTTGACTTCTAGGTGCTTCAATAGTCAATTTTTTTACTTTCATACTTCTTGTATCATAGTTTCCTCATTTGCATTTGCCTCCCCTAATTTCTGGATTCCCACAGTTTTAGGTTATTGGGTTATTTATTTATTCATTTTTGAAAAGGTGAAATTTCATTAAAGTATACCACGGTATTAGTTATTGGTTGTTTGTATCTTTTGGATTAGATAGACAATAATGATACTGTGAACTTCGAAAACATCCACTATTTCCCAACTATTGGATAATATCAGCAATAATAACTAATGAAAATTCCAGCATCAAGTATACCTGCTTGCTTTGTTGAACAATTTTGACTTTGAAAAAGAAGTTTATGTAGGCAAAGAGCTTAAACACATGACTGCAGTCCCCTTCACTTAGGCCTGTCTGTCCTGGCCTCTTCAGATCCTTAGGATTTACATCTTTTGCATCTTTCCCACTAATGATATTCCCCATTTTATTATGTAGTATGAATTTGCAGTGATCTACTAGTGCAATCGAGAAAAGAGTAATGGATTTATATCTGCTACTTGATTGTTAATAATTCTCTCTGAATTGGACGATTACCTTCTTTCTATGGACGTGTTTTTTTAATCTTTCTTGGTGTATTGCTGATATATTTTTGTATACAGACGGTTTTTGCCCTTCATTAATAAAATTTATTACTTTGTCAAAATTAGCATTGCTGATTTATTTTAATGTTTCTTCGTCCTCAGCTTGTAATGGTTGTTGATGCACGAGACCCACTTTTTTATCGGTGTCCTGATCTTGAGGTAAGTATTTCAATGCTTCACATAGATTGAAGTTCCTTCGATTGTTAGGCTTTTAGCACAACTACCATATATTTCCTATTTGTTTGCATGGATATTCACAGTTTCAGTGACTGCAGTTGAAAGACTGTTCAGATATGTGTTGATATCTTTTTCATATTGTCTCATGTGGCCGTGCATTCTTTTGATGCGCTACTGTTGAATTCTGATCTTTCTTTTCTTTTACTTTCCTTTTTAATGAAATTTAAAGAGTAGCGNTGGTTATGTTGCTGCAAGTGGATTGCCTGATGAAACAAGAGCAGCACGTCAGATGTTGAAAGATTATGTTGATGGGAAGCTTCCACATTTTGAAACGCCTCCAGGGGTATCGGAGGATGAAGGTAGTGCAGAAGATGAAGATGTTTCAGAGGATGATGATGGACCTAGAATGTCTGCTTCTGATTCCTCTGGTGATGATGAAGACGAAAATGCACCGAGTCTAGAGCATGTGCTGAGTGATTTGAGTACATTTGATATGGCCAATGGACTTGCTTCTAACGAGGCAGCTAGTAAAAAGAAGCCCTCAATTAAACCCCATAAACAACACAAGAAATCACAAAGAAAAAAAGACCGGTCGTGGAGGGTCCAGAACGGTGATGCTGATGGGATGCCAGTAGTAAGAGTCTTCCAGAAACCAGCAAACACTGGACCTGTGAGCATCCGATAGGTGTAGATGGAAATTGATTGTATCTTTGCTCAGCGGCGAACTGCATCAAGAGGAAAAAAAAAAGGCAAAACATGTTATTTCTGATAGTTGGCTCTTTGGCTCCTGCCTCTGTTGCCATGTGAACTGCTGTTTCTTACCCTACATTATTGCATGTACTATTTGTTACACGCATATCGTTACGATGATAGTGCGGTATATATGCTTATTTCTAAAGTAAGACTCTCACTAAGGGAGTTACAGGGTAAAATCTTATGCAACACGATGTATTGATTCCTTTGAGTTAATTGTCTGAGCTTCTGTGCCTAATGGTTTTTCCTTAAAACAGGCTGTAGTAATAAACCGAAACACCCCCCCTACCCCCGTTTCCCCGTCCCCAAAAAAAATTTGAAGGAAGGAAAGAATGACAATGTCTACCTTTTCTCCATAGTGACCCAATTGATCACAGATGAAGCATTTTACTCTAGTCACTTTTTTTTCTTTCTCACTTTCTATCTTGTTGGTTATCATTTTAGGGTTTTTATTTGGATGCGTCATAATTTTTCAGTTTTCATTGGTTTCACGTTATAAAACCATTTGTTGAGCTAGAAGTTGTAGTTTTGTGCACTTTTGCACCTTCTTTGGCAGGCTCATGCTGCTCTTCTTCTAACTTTAGATGTTGTCTCACATTATCAAACATACTATTATGATTATTATGAGTCAGTTGCATCCTCATATGCTCCTAAATTTGAGGCAGGAAACAAATAATTGCCTTGAACTTCTTGCTCATTCGTCAACTTATGACCCTAAGTTTGGTAACTGTAGTGTTATTACACTTAGATTCAAATGCCTAGATATCTTTCTTTAGTTGACGAAGAGATTAATGGATGTGTGCGAAGGTAGGCTCAAGCTAAGATTCTGCTCGTGAGCGACACAAAGAATAAACCCTTTGCTGCTCTCTTATAAATAAATCTATTTTTTGACCCGTAGTGATGTTATATAGATTGTGGGCTTTGAGTTAGACCTAATGACCCGGCTAATTAACTAGCACCCTTTATAGTTGTACTAGGCCTAAAAAACTATTTTTTAAAACAAAAACCAAGGTAATGTAACCCCAAAATTTGGACATGACTTGAGAGTTGAGACATAAGTTTTGGCCAAGTATCCTATAAAGAGTCTCCTGAAAGCCGGAAGCATTAAAAGAATGAAAATAGGAATTGACATATCATGATATCATAAGATATTCTGGCTAACAGCTTATTTGGATGGTTGTTACCTATTGTATTGTTACTTTAAATACGATTGTATCGTATCGTTATGTCCATCTTTATGTAACGACTGATTTGGTGCGGTCGTATCGTTACCTTATCTTTTTCTCTCAATCTCACCCTTCATTATTATTAAATAATTTTATTTTATTATTTACCCTGTCTTTTTATATACTGTATCATAATTTTTTTTAATATAATATTGCAAATTTATTCTTCATATTGTTGGTGTGTGATATCATAAAACGACGGCAAACGACACAATCTATCCAAACATTATATTCATCAAATGATACAGAACAATACAATACGATACGATACGATACATTATGAAACGATATGTAACAACTATCCAAACAAGCTGTAAATGAATTAGCTGGTACTAAAAATATTTAAAAAGGTGAACAAAAGAAATAATAAACAATGAAAAGGACATAAATTTCTCAAAACTGAAAAATACCCATTTAATGCTAGTACTATGGGGGGCTATTGTTTTGATATAACGAAGAAAATGTAAATTCTTTGGGTTATTAAATGTTTATGTTTGCTATGATCTTGCTCGACTAAGGGAAAAGAAAAAATTACGTTAGCTGGGTAGCAAATCAAATTTAAAATGACTTTTATAATTACTGTTATTTTTAAATACACCAAAACGCTGTCGTTTTATGCCCTTTCTAAAAGATTTCGTGAAACGTGATGGGGCATTTTGGGATAAAAGAAAACCTAATTTCGAAACGTGACAACTCAGAAGGCTGAAAGACTGTTTCGGTTGTTCTGCTAAATCATCGCATCTCAGTGTTTTCGCCGTCGTTTGATCGTCGCCGGCCGCCGTTCATCACAGCAGCGGTCAGTTCCCTTAGATATTAATTGAATATATGAATGAAATTGAGTGAATACTGTGCATTAGATATATTGAATTTGTGAATTTGTGATTGAGTTGTTTTTTTTGCTCCATACTTGCCTAGGAATTAACAGTCACTGAGTGTTGAGATAAAGGCATAAAGCACCATCTTAATTAAATGTACAAATACCACATTATGTTTTACCTAATATTCTCATGTCTGTCATGTGTAATACTAGTTTATTTTGCACTTTTTCAGACCCCTTTCCTTTGAATCTTTATCCCAAATATAAATATTCTCCAGTATAGTGGTGTAAAGGAAATGTTAATAGTAACTAGGAGTAACAGAGTATAAAGCATCAGAATTAAACTTTGGAGTCATATATACTGATTAAAACTATAACACCAAATATGACCATCAAGATTTAAAACTACTAACTAGTGAAACTAAAATACTTGGTGCAGATATTGTTTTTAGGCTTGAAACAGATTATTGCAACATCTTCTTGGTCAAATAGTCAAGCAAAACACCAACGAATTCAACTAGTAAAAAGAATCTTTAAAGCATCTAATGTAAACAATCGGGAAGGAATGGTTCATAGTTAATGCATCAGATTCTTAACAGTGAAGTTTTATAGCAAGCTTCACTTGTATTTTCTTTTGTGTGAATACGATTGTTAGATTGTCTTCTAACTAAAACTTTTACTTTATAATTCAGTTTCATATTTCAATGAAGAGGTATTTTCCCCAACTACCAAAATCAAGTTTGGCATCTCATAATCAATCTAACCAGGAGGAAAATGCCAATCAATCAGAAGTAGCGTTGCATTCTTCTCAGATGACTTCTTATCAAGTTAAGCATAAGTATACGTTTCTCTTAACTTCTTCAATTGATGTAGTAAGACTTCTTATAAATCAAGGAATCACATTTGGGGGTCATGATGAATCTGAATCATCACTTGACAATGGTAATTTTCTTGAAATTCTTTCTTGGTATGCGAAAAGATGTGATAACATTCATGATTTTGTATTGGAACAAGCTTAACAAAAAGATCTAATGATTTTTCCAATGATTCAAAAAGATATTGTGACTGCATGTAAGATTGAAACAACTAAGGCTATCATACAGGAATTAAATGGTGACTACTTTGCCTTATTAGTTGATGTGTCACACATGGAGCAAATGGTTATCGTTTTACGATTTGTTGATAGAAGAGGATTTGTGATGGAGCGGCTTATTGACATTATTCATATTCAAGATACTAGTTTTTTATCTTTAAAGAGGACAATCGTTGATTTGCTTGCTCATCATTCCTTGAGTCTATCTTATGTGCGTGGACAATGTTATGATGAGGGAAGTAATATGCTAAATAATATCAAAGGTCTTAAAATGTTGATTAGGCAAGAAAATAGATCGGCACATTCTATTCATTGTTTTGCTCATCAACTTCAGCAAACTCTTGTTGCAATTTCTAAAAATTGTGTTCAAGTGGGAGAAATTATATTATTGGTTTCAAATATTTCAAATGTGTTTGGGAGCTTCTTTTACACATGGATGAATTTCAAGAATCTCAAAGGGAAAAAATTCAAGAGGCATTAGATATGGGTGAACTTACAAATGGTAGGAGCTTGCTTCAAGAACTTGGTCTTATTAAAGCTAGTGATACTTGTTGGGGATCACCCTATAAATCTTTCAGCAACTTTATTCGTTTGTTTGGTTTAATTATGGATGTACTTGATGCTATTGTTGTGGATGCACATTCTTTAGATGAAAGAGCAAAGGCAATGGGATATCTCAGAACTTGTCAAACGTTTAAGGTCGCTTTTATGCTGCATTTGATGAGAGATGTTTTAGAAATCACAGATGAACTAAGTAAATCTTTACAGAAGAAGGAGCATGACATTGCTAATGCCATGCTATTCCTTGAAAAAGCAAAGACAATGTTGCAAAAGTTAAGGGATAATGGATGGGAGTCGCTTATTGATAAGGTATCTGCATTTTGTACCATGTATGATATTTTGATACCTAATTTTGATGAGCCATATGTTGACTCTGGAAGATCGCGGTGTAGACCTGCTTATTGTAATGTCTTACATCATTATCGTGTTAAGGTGCTTTATAAAATTGTTGATTGGCAACTTCAAGAACTCAAAGGTCGGTTTGATAAGATGACAATTGATTTGCTTCATGGAGTGTCTTGTTTGAATCCAATTAACTCATTTTCTAGTTTTGACATCAGGAAGATAATGAGAATGGCTGAATTATATCCTGATGACTTTCATGAGTATAATATGAATGCTCTTGAAAATCAACTTGCAACTTATATTATTGATGTTCGTGATATTGATCAAAGGTTTTCCAATCTAAGTGGACTTTCCGACCTTTCAAGGAAATTAGTTCAGACAAAGAAACATTTAAATTACTCTCTTGTATTCCTCTTAGTGAAGCTTGGTTTGCTCCTACCAGTTGTCACTGCATCCATTGAAAGAGATTTTTCGGCAATGAGGTTTATCAAGAATGGCATGCTGGACCGATCCAATGATGAACTTTTTAGCGGTTGCTTTGTGCCTTACGTAGAAAGAGAAGTATTTAATACTATTTCTAACGATGTTATTATAAAAACAATTAAAGAGATAAAATCTCGTCGAGTAGAGTTGTAATAATGTATTGAGTTGTGCTTTCACTAGTAGAGTTGTGTTTCTTTGGTTTTTTCACATGTTTTCTTCTTTATATTTTGAATTGCCTTACTAAAAAAATTGTATACGCCACTGATATGCTCGATATATCACTTAATTAAACAAAATAAACAGGTACTTCAAACTATATTGTGCCATTTTTCCCTTTTCTTTCCAATATAGGCAACTTCTGCTATGCACCGTCAATTGTCAATGATGCACTGAGAGTAATTCTTACCTGGCTAAGCCAATATGAAAAAGTAAAAAAAGTAAGTGATACTTAGTAAATATTCCCAAATTGTGTAATATGATTGTGACACAAAAAGTTAAACAATGACTAATCCCAGTATAGCATTGAAAAGTTGCATTAACTGTATGATTGCTAATCTCCTACTCGCCCAATTACTTCAGATATTCTTGTTACTAGTTCATTGTATATATCATTTCTCGATATGGTACGAGACTGTTGATTAGGAAATTAGACTAATCCAAATATGCTACAGTGACATTATGTGGAGTATTTTTCCAAATATAGCTTTGAGGGGCTGGTTCAACAAAGCAAAATTGGTCCTTAGATCAAGTTACTCTTCTCCAAAAAGGGAAAACTGGAAAATAAAGACTGTTAAATCATAAAATACAACTTTAAGATATATCGTAAGAAGTATACCCAAACCTTAAGAGAATAGGTGAAATGGTGAAATAGTTAAAGAGCATTTAAATCCTTTTGGAAACCCTTACACTAAATTGTAAGATTTACACGTGAATTTGATTTTTTCCTTTTCCTCGAGGCAACGGGTGTAGTTCAAGATCATATAAAGCTTTTTGAAAACTCTTATATAACCAATGATGGATGAGTAAATTATTTGACACCCACCTATTTCTAAAGTTTACACGTGAATTTGATATTTTCTTTTCCTTTTTTCATTGAAGTGGAGATAGAGGAGGCTCAACATGATGGTCCTTGAATATAAAAGACATCAGGTAGCCACTCTAAAAGGTTTTTATTTAGGAATTAGCCAGTACGTTCTGAATTTCAGTTTTTCAGTTTATTTTTTCAGACAAAAATGTTCTGAACTGTCCTGAAGTTGAGATTTTTAATTTAAAATTTCAGGACAAAATAAGTATTGGCTAATTTTTAAATAGCATCCCTGAGAATGACTATCTATGCACTTGCCGATTAAGCTCGACATCCTATTAGTAGGTTCGGAGCAATGTTAGTAGCTCGATGGGCTGAATTGAAAGAGAGTAGTCTAGAGCAACTCTAATGAATTGAGAGAGAAGCCCAGAGCGATAGAATGTGAATTAAAGCAATTGGACAGATGAGCTCATGAAAGTTTGACTCTAATACTATGTCAAAAGATTTGAGTATCCAACAAAATACTAAAATGACTAGAATTGTATGGAGTACAAAATGGTTGTCCTAGTTTTACTTTAAAAAATTTTGTAACATTTTTTCTTTGTCTGAACTAAATGTTCTCTTTCTAAAGTGGACAGATACTGCTGTAATTTGTATTGTGATTTTAAGCTTGTGTAGCTTAAAGAGGGTGAATGAGAAATGGAGAAAAAATAAAATATTTGAGTTTCCCACCTTGGCAAAGGGATATTGTCCCATATTGGGGGAAGAAAAGGCTTTTGATGGGTATATATATAATTGCTCTTCTTCTAGCTCTTAAAGAGTTAAGAAGAAGACAAGCCTCGCGTCGTCGTCGTCATCGCTCGCTCGGCTTCAGCTTCGGCTTCTCGTGATGAGGACAATGTTCAGAAATCGAGGTAAAGCATTAAGGCTTTTTGATGAGTCAACAAATCTTAAAGGTTTTTTAATGATTTGCTAAGTCTGGCAGGATATGACCAGATAGTGTGTCTATAGGATTACACGTTTAGAAATCACCTATGTGAATGTGAAGTGTAAGCCGCTTCAAGGGGAATGAAAGTAAAGGCCCATTCTCTAAGCACTCATGAAATCAGGCGATGTTCATGGCTGAAACGAACACAACCGTGAGAACCATAGATGGTTAAGGATTGATTGTGTGACTTATGTTGTCTAGGTATACAACAAAGTTCGACGGTTCAACGATATCAAATCTACCGATTGACCGAGTATATCAGATATAAGTTCACTACGGAAAGTTCAAAGGAAAACCTACTTATCCAAATGCAATTAATTCTTGCATGTAAAACACACACGCGTCCGTGCATTCCTTTATTTTATAGTCATTCCCCATTCATGTGGGGGATTGTTGGAATTTTAAGCTTGTGTAGCTTAAAGAGGGTGAATGAGAAATGGGGGGAAAATAAAATATTTGAGTTTTCCTCCTTGGCAAAGAGACATTGTTCCATATTGAAGGAAGAAAAGACTTTTGATGGGTATATATATAATTGCTCTTCTTCTAGCTCTTAAAGAGTTAAGAAGAAGGCAAGCCTCGCGTCGTCGTCGTCGTCGCTCAGCTTCGGTCAAAGATTGATTGATTAATCTTTTTGGATAAAATTCCTTTCAATTATTTAATTAATTAATTAAATAATTAACGAAAAATTAAATCCGAAATAACCCATGACCCGCGACCCGGTCCGGTCAGGCCCATTTTCTTTCCCGGATTATTTTAAATCTATTTTTCCGCAATATTTCAAACAACCCTGTTCCAACAGCTATGACTGTTTCTGAAAGGTTGCAAACCTTTTCAGAAACAATGCCAGCAACTCTATAAATAGAGTTTGAATCCCAGAATCTTTCTTTACGAAATTTTCTGAGCTTCTTCTTCTTCTTCTGCACAAAAATTCAGTGTGTTTTACAGCCTTCGAGTGATTCGCTGTTCACCGGCGTTTTGGTACCAACACTCCGGTGAGTTAAATCGTTCTATCCTGGGAGGATATATTCCAGCACCTCGGGTACTTGAGGGGAATAATTTCCTTAAGGACACACTATGTACTCAGTGGGCTCGATTTATTCCTATACTATTTTTCCAGAATTTATTTTGTAAATAAGTATTACTAACTTTCTGTTTTGTTTATATATTTCAGAAAGTTTAATTAGTTATTACAGCAATACAGAATAATAACAATCTTAAGCAAATTATTTTATTTTGTATTTTTATTTGTGGAGATTAAAACCTGTGTGATTTTCTACTCCTTCTGAATTTTACTATTCTGATTTGAAGATATAAAAACTTCATCAGAGTATTGAAATTCAGAAAACGATTTGAAGAACATAAAAACTTCATTGTTTTCTGTGCAACAGTATATAAAAAACTTCAGTTTTATTTCTTATACATACTGTGTTTTTAATAACAGTATTGTTTACTGTTCTGGTTTTTCCATTAATTGAATTCTTCTGTTGTTTACAGTGAGAAAATGGCAATTGATAATGGAAATTCTTCTGCGACTGTTGCGGCAACGACGATAGCCTCGTCAAGCCGGACTGTTGTTCCACCTGCAGAGAAACCGGAGAAATTTTTCAGAGCCAACTTCAAAGGATGGCAGCAAAGGGTGTTCTTCTGGCTTACCACACTTGGTATGCAGAAATTCACTAGTGAAGAACCTCCAGTGCCTGCTGCGGACATGCCGGACAACGAGAAATTCATGATTGTTGAGGCGTGGAAGCAGGCAGATTTTCTTTGCAAAGGCTATATCTTAAGCGCTTTAGAGGATGACTTGTACAATGTGTACAGTGCGATGAATACTTCGAAAGAATTATGGGACGCACTTGAGAAGAAGTACAAGACTGAAGATGCATGCTTGAAGAAGTTCGTGGTTGCCAAGTTTCTAGACTATAAAATGATAGACAGTAAAACTGTTGGAACCCAAGTTCAGGAGCTTCAACTTATTTTTCATGACCTTATTGCTGAAGGTATGGTCGTGAATGAAGCATTTCAAGTGGCTGCTATGATTGAAAAATTGCCTCCTTCGTGGAGAGATTTCAAGAACTATCTTAAGCACAAGCGCAAAGAAATGAAGTTGGAAAATCTTGTGATTCGTCTCAAGATTGAGAAAGACAACAAAACAACCGAGAAGAAGTCTCGTGGAAATTCAACGATCATGGGAGCTAATATCGTTGAGGAGACTGCTCCAAAATGTAAGAAGAGAAAGAGGTCTTCTGGACAGACTAAGGAGCAGAACAAAAAGAAATTCAAGGGCAGCTACTACATTTGTGGAAAAACCGGTCACAAAGCCCCTGATTGTCGTCTCCCAAAAAAGTATAAGAAGAAGGGACATGCTAACATAGTGGAGAAGAATGATGACATTGATGATCTATGTGCAATGCTTTCGGAATGCAACTTAGTTGGAAATTCGAAGGAGTGGTGGATTGACTCTGAAGCCACTCGACATGTTTGTGCTCTCAAGGAAGCATTTGCGACTTACTCTACTGCTGGTCCTGAAGAAGAGCTTTCCATGGAAAATACTGCAACAGCCAAGATTGAAGGTTATGAGAAGATATTCCTGAAAATGACTTCCGGCAAGGTGTTAACGCTCAACAACGTTCTTCATGTTCCTACTATTAGGAAGAATTTAGTTTCTACTTCTTTGCTTGTTAAGAACGGATTCAAATGTGTATTTGTTTCTGATAAAGTTGTTGTAAGCAAGAATGAAATGTATGTTGGAAAGGGCTACCTCACAGAGGGCCTCTTCAAACTAAATGTAATGGTTGTTGACAGTATGAATAAAATTGCAGCTTCTTCTTATTTATTGGAGTCAAATGATTTATGGCATATTCGTTTAGGACATGTCAATTACAAAACCTTGCGGAAGTTAATTAATTTAGAAGTGTTGCCTAAATTCGAGTGTAATAAATCAAAATGTCAAATATGTGTTGAGTCTAAGTTTGTAAAACATCCTTATAAGTCTATTGAAAGGAATTCATATCCTTTAGACTTAATTTATACTGACATTTATGATATGAAGTCGACACCATCAAGAGGTGGGTAAAAATATTTTATTACTTTTATTGACGATTGCACTCGATATTGTTACGTTTATTTGCTTAATAGTAAGGATGAAGCAATTGAAGCATTTAAGCAATACAAGAATGAAGTGGAGAATCAATTGAA